ACTCACAAAAATACTTCTTTAAAGCCTAAGAAGAAAAAATTTAAGAAAAATAATGGTAGACCTCCCAAGAAAAATAATGGTGAAAATCACCAAGCACAAAATCAACAAGTTCAAGAAAAGGGACCATGCTTTGTTTGTGGCAAGAGTGGGCATATTGCTCGATTTTGCAGATTTCGGAAATGTGGTCCTTACCCTCAGGCAAATATTAACGAAGAACCTTTTGTGGCGGTGATTACCGACATAAATATGGTTGAGAATGTTGATGGATGGTGGGCTGATTCTGGTGCAAACCGTCATGTCTGTTATGACAAAGACTGGTTTAAAAAATATACTCATTTTGAAGATCCCAAAACCATCATGCTTGGTGATGCTCACACTATTCAAGTGATTGAAAAGGGAGATGTTGAATTGTGTTTTACTTTTGGAAGGATATTAACATTGAAAGATGTACTTTATACTCCTTCTATGAATAAAAATTTGATGTCTAGTTTTCTTCTTAATAAAGCAGGCTTTAAACAGATTATTGAATCTGATCAATATGTAATAGTAAAGAAAGGTATTTTTGTGGGTAAGGGGTATGCATGTGATGGAATGTTTAATTTGAATGTTGAAATGAATAAAACTTCTACTTCTGTTTATATGCTTTCTTCTACTAATTTTTGGCATGCTCGTTTGTGTCATATTAATGATCATTATGTTGGAATCATGAGTAGTTTAGGATTAATCCCAATGGTTAAAAAGAATTTTGAAAAGTGTGAGGCTTGTAGTAAAGCCAAGATCACTAAAAGGCCTCATTTTCAAGTTGAAAGAAAAACTGATTTGTTAGAATTAGTTCATATTGATATTTGTGAACTTGGTGGAATTCTAACTCGTGGAGGTAATAGATATTTTATCACTTTCATTGATGATTTTTCTAAGTTTACATATGTTTACTTGATGAAAAATAAAAGTGATGCTTTTGAAAATTTCAAAACTTATCTCAATGAGGTTGAAAATCAGTTTGGAAGAAAAATAAAAAGAATTAGAAGTGATAGAGGCCGTGAATATGAATCAAATGAGTTTAATTCTTTTGTTAGATAATTGGGAATAATTCATGAAACTACTCCTCCTTACTCTCCTTCGTCTAATGGAGTAGAAGAAAGGAAAAATAGAACTTTGGTTGAATTGACAAATGTCATGCTTATTGAGTCAAATACACCTTTAAATTTTTGGGGTGAAGCTATCTTAACTGCTTGTTATGTGTTGAATCGTGTGCCTCATAAAAAGTCTAAATTGACACCTTTTGAATTGTGGAAAGGTTACAAGCCAAGTTTGGGATATCTAATAGTTTGGGGTTGCCTAGCCTTTGTGAGGTTAATAGATCCCAAGATTACAAAGTTGGGTAAGAAAGTTACTACTTGTGATTTTCTTGGTTATGCTTCAAATAGTTGTAGCCTATAGATTTTTTAATCTTGAAGATAATATTGTAATATAATCTGGTGATGCTATTTTTCATGAAAATAAATTTCCTTTTGATACTAAAAATAGTGGGGGTCAAAGGATTGAACAAAATATTTTGTCACTATCTAGTTCTTCTACTTCAATTTTGAAAAATAAAGAAGTTGGTGATTTTGAGTTAAGAAGAAGTAATAGAGCTAGACTAGAAAAAGACTTTGGTCCTGATTTTTATGTGTTTAATGTTAAAAATGACCCTCTAACTTTGAAAGAAGCATTATCTTCACATGATTCTATTTTCTGGAAAGAGGCTGTAAATGATGAAATGGAATCTCTAATTTCTAATAAAACTTGGAAGTTAGTTGATTTACCACCGGGTTGTAAAACAATTGGTTGCAAATGGGTCTTAAGGAAAAAGTTGAAACCGGATGGTTCTATTGATAAATACAAGGCTAGGCTAGTTGCAAAAGGTTTTAAACAACTAGAAGGCCTAGAACTTTTTGATATTTTTTCTCCGGTAAAAAGAATTACATCCATTAGACTTTTAGTTGCTATGGCTGCAATTTTTGATTTGCAAATTCATCAAATGGATGTAAAAACTGTTTTTCTAAATGGAGGCCTAAATGAAGAAATTTATATGGACCAACCCGAGTGTTTTGTTGAAGCAGGCCAAGAAAGCTAAGTATGTAAACTTACTAAATCCCTATATGGCTTGAAACAGGCACCAAAGCAATGACATGAAAAGTTTGATTTCTGCATGATTGAAAATGGTTTTAAAACAAATGAGTGTGATAAGTGAATATATCATAAGTCTTGGAATAATTCTCATGTGATTATTTGCATATATGTTGATGATTTGTTGATCTTTGGCTCTAACATTAATGTTATTGATGAAGCTAAAAATGTTCTTAGAAGCCATTTTGATATGAAAGATCTTGGTGAGGCAAATTTTATTCTTGGAATAAAAATAACAAGAACATGTGAGGGGATTTTCCTTGACTAGTCACATTATGTTGAGAAAATTTTAAAAAAATATAACTTTCGTGATTGCAAGCATGTTGCTACTTCTTTTTGATTCAAATGTTCACTTATTTCCTGTTGAAAGTGAAAATGATGTAATAAATCAAAAGGAATATCCTAGTATAATCGAAAGTTTGAGATATGTGACCGATTGCACTAGGCCTGATATTGCATATGCAGTAGGAGTACTTGGCAGGTTTACAAGCAAGCCAGGTAATGAACATTGGCATGCTATAACAAGAGTTATGAGATATTTAATTGGAACGAAAAATTGTGGTTTGTTCTATAAAAAATATCCTGTTGTACTTGAAGGCTTTTGTGATGCGGATTGGAACACTTTGTCAGGTGATTCCTGTTCTACCACTGGTTATGTCTTTACTTTAAGTGGTGGTGCTGTTTGTTGGAGATCAAAAAAGCAAACTATAATTGCTAACTCTACCATCGAGGCTGAACTAATTGCTTTAGCTTCAGCTAGTGAGGAAGCGAATTGGTTAAGAGATTTATTGTTTAAAATTTCTTATTTTGAAATATCAATTTCTCCTATTTTAATTCATTGTGATAGCACCGCTGCAATTGGTAGAGTTCAAAACCGTTATTACAACGGTAAATCAAGACCTATAAGAAGGAAACACAGTAATGTAAGATCGTATTTGACAAATGGTACCATTAATATTGATTATGTCAAATCTTGTGATAATCTTGCAGATCCTCCAAGAGAAAAGGTCTGGAGCACATCGAGGGCGATGGGATTGAAGCCTACAAATCCTTGAGTCATATATGAGGAAACCCAACCTGGGGACTAGAGATCTTATAACCAGGTTCAAAGGGAAAAACTAATCATATGATGACTTGTTGTGAAAAATGCACTATTTATTCCCTTCCTTATGATGTGAGTGCATTGTTTCCTGTAGTTTGTGAAGGTTGAGTTGATAAAACTCTTAATGATTATCTGTAGCCCGTATGGGTGGAGTGTGAATCTTACAGGAGCACTCTCGACAGATTTCACCTATGTGATGTGTGGAAGTAGGTCGCATCCTATGAGAATGAGGCTTATTCTCAAATGCACTCATGAAATCGGGATAGCACATGTCCATAACGTGCTGGCTGTTAAAGCTCATGTCAACACCTTGATTATTATGTGTGAGCAGTGATATTTTATTCCCCTTAAGCAGTCATAGTTCAAGTCTGAGACCACTACGACTCTGGAGTAAAAGTTACTGTTTCACTAAGTGGAGGTTCAATGCAGAGCACACTTTCATTATGCATAGTAGTCTTCCTTCAACTGATATACTCTCTTATCTAAATATTAAGATGAGTGGGGGATTGTTAGGTTATTAGCATTTTAATATTAATATTTAACATATTAGATTTCTTTATTTTGGAGTTATATGACTGAACATTGGAATGGATGACTTCTACATCATCCATTAGCATTGGTTATCCATCAATGTATTTCATTCTTAATTCTCTATTACTCTATGTAACCTATGTAACTCCCATTGTAACTTATGTAACGTATGTAACTCCCATTGTAACCTATGTAACTCCTAAGGCCATTATCTTCACTATTTACTACCTCCATTATCTTCCTATTCATTGCTAGGAAGACTTCTTGTAGTATAAATAGTGGTAGTCTTCATTTGGTTTGAGAGACACACAATTCATAAGAGAAAACAAAGAGTGAAAGAGTTAGACTAAAAGAGAGTTCTTATTAGTTAAAGGGAGGTGTTCTTTTTTGTGGAGCTTTGAACTCAACTCTTGTCCAGAGTTGTTGAGTTATACTTTGTGAAGGCTGTTGTATTCTGGAGGGGACAAGTCAAAGAGGACTACTGCTGGACCGGTGAAAACATTTGTTGCAGTGGGCTTGAATCTCCTTAAAGAGAGCGAGATATCCGCGCCTCAGCCTGAAGAGATTAATTTCTTCATTTTATTTTCAATTGTAATCTTGCAATTTTATTATCTTGTAAGTTTTTTCACTAACACTCCTTGTTATAAGGCTATACGGTACATATATCACAAGTTATATGGTATTTTTTTGTAAAGAACTTATATTTCTAGATGTTTGACTCTACAATAAAAATATTTTTAGAAGCTGTAAATATATACATTAACAATGAGTATTAAATTTTTTACTGGCATTAATTAATTGTCATCATAAGCTTTGGGAACATTTACAAAGAGTGTTAATTATCATTAAAATAACAAATCTAGTTATATAAAGATGATATTTGGTGTAGTGTCATTAGACATTTGACATACCATTTTACGGATAAACAAATATTTGGATGTTGTTGGCACCTACTGTAGTGAGGATTTTTGAAAATTCAGTACCACATTTGTATCTATTGGAAATGTATATGGAGCAAATTGTATTGCTAATAATTTGTTTTTGAGATGATGGAAGTGTGACATTCTGCGACCTAGCTCTTGTATTATTGTTCCTGTTTAGTTTTTCATTATGTGCACAACGTCCAGTATTATATTTTGAGAGAGGAAGAGGAAGCAAGATGGAAAGTATACTAAAGAAGAAAGGTAAGGCAAGAATATGAATTAGAACATAACTAATGCAAACTGCTCTTATCCATCATATATATACACAGAAAACTAATTAGAAGCAAAAATGCAAGCCACAAATTAACAAGTAATTGTTGCTGAATGAAAATCTAAAAAGAGGTAATAGCCAGATCATATACAGTAGCTTATATTAACTTGCATTGCAAATTTGCAAATACGGAATTTAAATAAGCTTTGAGTCATCGGCCATTCAAACAACATTATTTCTTGTGTATGTTGCCTTAAAAACCAAAGAAGTTCTTCTTTTTCTTCTTCTTCTCAATGTAAGCTAAGAGCTCCTCTTGACGGGAAAGGGCTGTCTCAAGTGCCTGCCAATATTAATGATATTAGTCGTCTTACCGGCCCCTCATAAATATGAATAATAGAGTATCAAGAGAAGTATATATATACCATTTTTGTTGCACAAAGTTCTTGCTCCAATTTATCAACATGACTCATGACATTGTTAAGCATTTCCTCTTTTTCGGGTGGTAAGGAACTAGGCGTGTTGCTAAGACTAATAACCTTCTCCTCTAGCTCTCCCATACGTTTCATCATGCTGAAGTACTCATTATTTGAGATGGCAGGTCCACTCAACCGATATTCTTGACCATGTACTGGTTTAACTTGCATATCAACTCCTTTTAATGAACCTGACAAGAGAGTCGAATCTGTAAGCTTTCTTGGCATGTTGCGTGTCATTCGCACCATTGTCACCACACCCATCACAAATGTCATCACTCCTGTGAAAAGGTGGTTGCTAAATCCATCGGGGGATTTAGAAATATCATGCATGGGTAAGAAATCTGAAGCTGAAAACAGGGAATGTAATTGTTAATATATCAACTATTAAAACATTTGCTATACATGCAATGAGAGGTTATACCTTTAGCAATGGCGTAGTTGTCCGCTTTTGTAGCTTTAGGAATAGTTGGTTCAATTACTTTGTCAACAACAGGGGTGTATGCGCTAGGTTGCTTCTTAATTATATCATCCTATAAAAACATTTCAATTTATAGGGAATAAGCAAATGCATTAGTATACTTTTATTCTTGTGAAGCTCAAGCTCATTTTATGTGGATTCTATTCTAATATGTTGCGGATGTAGAAGAACCTTACTTCCTCGTGTACAGTGGAGAGTTGTGTAGGTGATACATGATCCCGCTGGATCTTGGAAGATGCAGTTCTCAGATTAATAGAATTGCTCTTCTTTGCGTCCTACAACGTACATGTATTGAAATCTCTTCATAAAAATGTTATTTATAAAGAAAGAACAAACAACAATTATGGAAGATCGATGAGGCACCTTTGGCTTGGCATTCCCATCCTCTGAAATAGTTTTCTCATCAACTGGAATGGAAGTTCTCTTTGTGCATTTATGCATACCACTGTGAACCATCTGGCATAAATTAATCATGTGTGTATCAATGGAAATGGAAATTGTATCGTTTACGTACTAAAAACTTAAACAGGATTCGATGAAATTAACCTTCATTATTTCTGGATCATTCCATGGCCCTTTATCAGAAAGCATACATCCTCCTTTATCCTCACAAGTGCAAGTACCGCCTAAGAACTCTGGAAGTTCGCTGATGCAAGGCAGTGACAAACAACTCTCTTTAGCCTCTATACATGAACTTTAGTTAGTGATAAATATATATATAATGTTATTTTCTTTTTACGAGTTGCACATTTGTTAGTTGGACGTATACTTGAAATCTCAGAAAGCGGAAGAGAATATTTAAGTTCACCTGTGTTTACCTGGCATCAATTATTTCAAGCAACTTGCTCTGGTATTTGTTACCAAGAACCTAAGAAGAAAGAAGCATGTTATTCCTATGAAAAATCATCCATTCTGATTGAAAATGAATTTAGGCTTACGTTGATCTTTGCGGTGGTCTTGGGGTCAAGGAATGACTTAACAGAGTTCCATAATAGCCTGAATCCAGAACCAGCATTGATGATATACATACGACACAAGCTCTAAACAGTCGATAAAGATATTCATGTAAGCAATACAAACTTGAACATTTTCATCAAATATATATGTCTAATGGGAGAACAAATACCTCCGGATAATTGTTACCATCAATACCTTGGAGGCATTGAAGAAGTTCTCTTGCTGATTTGTTGAAATTTTTAAGTCCCTGAGTCATTCATTATTGATGTAAATTAAGTTAGTAATTGCTATAAACGAACAAATAGATTTCTTTCCATATCTAATTGTGTTATAAAATATCAGAATATACCACTCCTTGCACATCCAAAATTGTTGTGCTTGTATCAATATGTTTTTTTGCTGCAATGGAGCAAGCTGGCAATTTTTCATTGAACGTCCTCTCAAACTCCTGCACATGGTACTTAAGATATCGGTCCATTGTCGTGACTTGTAGGAGCTTGGTAGAATCTACTTGACCAATTCTTTCGATATAAACTGGTCTTCCGTCTTTGTCAACTCCATGATGCCCTTGAGGATAGTATTTGACGACTTCCTCCTTTTCCTTGAACTCAAAGTCCTAAGAAAGAAAGAGGTAATAAAACTTCAAATTCAAATTTTGGGAATATTTTTTAGTTACTGAACATTTCAAAAAGTATGTACCTGCATAATAGTGTCTGCACCAAATTCCTTCCTCCAATTAATCATATCAGACCACATTTGCTTTGATTTATCTAATTCAAATTTCCTGGCCTTCAAAAACCTAAAAATACACTCGTGAGCATCAGGCATCGCGATCACATGTGAATCTAATGACACTATGATGTAATCTACCTTAGCATCATATGATAATCATCATGTTGTGCAGGAAGTAATTCATCCAATATAAGTGCTTGACGAAAGGCATCTACTAACTTTGCTTCCTCGGCGTCATGCTCATCTTCAAACACAACAGACATGACCCTGCTACTACTTCTACGGCCAGTTTTTTTTAAAGATTGTCTAAATTTGTTGGAGGCATTAAGTGCCTTTTTCTTGAATGACCCTAGCCTTGGCTTCTTATCCTCAGTGTTTTCAACATCAATCTTTTCCATACCTATACACAATATTAATTAATCCAAATATTCATTACACATATTGCAATAACAACATAATTTCTTCATCAAATTTTTACTTGGCCTGAGTGGTCGTTCAAGAGGTCCTGTTGACATTTTGCCACTCATGATTGCAGGTCTGTGTCAATTTATACAATTTACTCTATTGCTGAATGGGTACACCTATTAAATTTCAAATCATTTTTAGTAATACAAAACAAAAAAGGTTAATCAGGAACAAACAACACAAGGTATGTCATTAAACTTTACATTATGAAATATAAGAAAAACCCAATGAGTAAATAAAGATAATAATAATTGATGATTGATTACCAGTGACAAAAAAGAAATGGCAGGGACAATAAGAAAATATGGAGGAGTTTTCTCTTAAATTACCTAACAACTCTGCACGAAACAAACGGTGATCCTTATAAATAAGTGAATGGACAAGCTATAAAATTTCTATAATTTTTTATTTTCACACATTTCCATATTTTTATTGTAATATAAACAAATCATTGGTCCTCTTTTCTTCCAACCAACTACCTTAACCGATTACTACCATTTCACTTTCCTGTTAAATACCTTCTTTCCATAAACTTGTGCCTATTAATATAAGTCTAATATTAATTACCTACATAACATGTATAAGATAACACTTCTTGGATGAATATTCACCAAATGCGTTACATTCATAACAATAATATTCATCATACTTTTTAACAATTTGCTCCTTTTCATACGAGTGAACTTGTTCATGTTTCACACTATCATGATAACAAATAATACCATCTTGTTTTGAACTTAGAATCGAATTTGATTAGTTTTTCATGTATATACATATATGTTTATAAAAAAACAAATCCCGGTCATTTAACTTTAAAATTCTCTATATCATCAATGTGAATTTTTTTTTTAATGCTAAAATAATGATTTCTATTTGATATAATTGATAATGAGCTTTCGCAAACTTCAAAAGTTAAATATTTAGGCTTAAAAATATTATCGTTAATATAAGGGAAACATACATAATAAAACCATGCACCAAAAAAAAGACTTTCTTTTACACTATAAATTTTGAATCATTTATTTACCCTGTAAAAAAATTGTATGTCTCTAACAAAATTAGAGGAAAAACTATCAATAATGTTGATTTTCTTCACACAAGAGTCTATTATACTAAAAATAAAATAAAGTTAATTAATCAACACTCTTAGAACAACTTTTGTAATATATAATACTAACAAAAATAACGAAAAAATTGGTAATGATACCACCTATACACCATTCATACTTAATTATTCAGGGCATATATAGAGGGTAAGGTAAGGACTCCTAAAGACACAATGATTATTTTTATAAACATCGGACATAGTGACGAAACTAGAAATTTTACGAAGGATGTTCAAATAATACATAAGTATTTTTTTCGATAAACAGATGCATTGAAAAAATTAAAATTGAACTACATAATATTAATATTACTTTTCTTTACAAATGAATATTCCATAATTTTAAAAATCAAATTGCATAATATTTAGCTTTAATATTTGTGTTTAATTTAATATAAAGTGAACGAACAAAGCAAAAAAAAGGGGAGCATTAAGCTTAAATAGAAATCATTTTTACGTTTCAGGCTTTCATTAATCTTTGGTGATGACAATAATGGCGTGATATGAATAATGGAGGCAAATCAAATTAGTTATTCTTTTGTTTGTTTTTAACGGCTTTATAGAAATAGTTTAGAGTTTGTTTATTAACTTTAAATTAAATAATTACATTTAAATTTTACTTCAAATTTTATTGAGAGAAAATAAAAAGTCAAATTCATTGAAATTCAGTTAGCTACTAAACCTAAATTTTTAATTAAAAATGTAATTTATTAACTTAGACAATTAAAGAATAAGTTAATAAATAAAATAAAAGTGTTATATTTAAAATTAAGTCTTGTTTCAAATTTCAATGGGAGGAAATAAAAAGTCAAATTCATTGAATTCAACTAGCTACTAAACCTAAATTTTTAATTAAGAATGTAATTTAATTAGGTTAGACAATTAAAGAAATAACTTAGGGGATTCGAACCCACAACTTTAAAGTAAGCAAGGGAGCTTCACACCGTTGGACCAAAGCATGTCAATGTGCTTAGGTTGTCCAATTTATTTATTATAATTATTACAATTAACATTTTACTTATATATACGGTATTTTTTTCCCGCGAAGGGTGTCCAAATTGAACACCCTCAAGACACAGTAGCTCCGCCATTGGTAGACAAATGATATATGCATGAAAATTTGTCAGAAGGAAAAACTTACAAAATTTTTGAAGATTTAAAGCAATGCGATCAAGCAAAAGAAGGAGAAACTCTTTTCTAACCTTAGAAAAGGGTAAAAAGACATAGTATTAGAATAAAATAATTATGAAAAGACCCAATTGCCCTTAAAGATATATAATTGTCGACCTTTGACATACCGCTTGGACCAACGGACCGTGGTTTGACTAATGGTCTGTCCTACCCGTCTGTCGTGAGCTTTAAAAACTAAAATTTGAGGCCATGATCCACAAACCTCTTCCACGGGCCATGGACCCACCGAAGATCCGTTGGTCCAGGCCATGGTTCGTGATCTCTTGAGCAACTTTGGCTGGCCAATCCACGAAACAGACCTAGGGTCCGTAGTTCAGTACTCATATCGTGGTTGTCCTCCGTCGAATGGCACTAGAAATTCTGAAAACTCGCCCTTTCTTGAATCCAAGGTGTTACATGTGATCACATGCTAGATAATTCTACAAAAAAATGATTGATACTTCTTTCAATATGATGTTCACCAAATATAATGATGAAAGTGAACAATAATTAATTCTTGACTTATTTTTTTATTGATGAATGAGGAGAATTAATGGAAATTTGAAGCTTCTTTTGAATAATATTTATCTAAATAGTTTGTTATGATCATTATAATTCTATCTAATATATATATATTGTTGACACCCAATTTTGACCGATCTTTAACCATTCTTAGGAATACTATTCGATTAAATATGTATTTTAAAATTTATTTAAGGTTTAGAATTTTTAATCGATTTTGCTTGAAATTATATATTTTAGCATGTTTACTTTATAAGATTATTGTATATATTATTAAAATATTTTAAAATTATTAATGAATTTCGAATGTTTTAAAATCTAAATGATTTTTCAATTGTATAAAATATTTTAATATATGTAGTATTTTAATTAAATAGTAATTCCTAAATTTTCCTCAAAATAAATTGTAGCCCATTTTATTCTAATTTCTTTAAATTCTTGCCAAATCAATTTCAATGTTATTCCAAACATAGTCATTCTTTCATTCCAATTCTAGCCAAATTTTATTGCAATTTAGCCATTTTATATCCAACAAAATCTGTAAATGTCATCTTTTAATCTCATTCGTCCGTTTAAATAAATAAATCCTAGATCAAATCCTAACCCTTTATCTCTTATTAAATCAATGATTGTGATTAAATTTCCTTTTCTTCCTGATTTCAAAACACTAGAAAATCAAAACCTAAAATTTTCTTTTCTTTCTCCCCTCTCCTTGGCAGCCGCCACTCTCTCCCACTCTCTCCAGTGTCGCCCCTCCCTCTTCTCTTTTTTCTCCGGCCTGCGAGGCCATCAGCCAGAGGTGGCGACGCCCCTCTGTCGCCACCCCTCTCCTCTGCTTCCTCCCCTTCTCCCTCTCTCCACCTCCCTCATCTTCTTCCCCCCTCTTTCTCCATTCTTTCCGTGGGAATCGCCACCTCCAAGTGGTGGAAGTCGCCCCTCTTCCTCTCTCCTCTCCTTCGTCTCCCCCTCCTCTCTTTTTTCTCCCATTCTCCTTCCCTTCCCCTTCACAGGCAAGAGTAGCGGACGGCTCCGAGCTCCATCGGCGAGCAACCATCGCAGGGAGCTGCACCGGCGAAGGCGAGGAAGGTCGCCAGTAATGTTTTCACCGTCCCTTCTTTTTTATCTTTTCGTTCTTCTCCCTGCAGTACCAGCAGCGACTCCAACAAAGCAAGCTCCGTCGTTGTCCAAGCTTTGGGTCATGTGATGGATCTGTTGAGATCCGTCTTTGGTATTTCTTTTATCTATTATTATTTTGTCTATTCATAGTTCAAGTGATTCACATACCCCAATTATATTTTGTTCTCTTTTCAATGTTCGAATTTTAGAATGATATGCATTTGTTCTCTTAATTGTTAATTTGTAAATCTAGCTTGCTTAATTATTATGTAGATTATTCGACGAAGGATCAATGTTTGTTTTAATTTTCATGTATGTTACTAATTGTAAGTATGCTGTTCTATTTAAAAATTTCTTGATTGACTTCTCATACGTGTTATAATATGTTTAAATTAATTTGTCAAAATTATATGATAAATCTTCGCTGATTTGATAAAATTAGCAAATTTCTTACTTGTTTGTTCTTGAAAAAAAATATTTACTCATTTGAAAATAGTTATTTACTGATTTCATGCTCTCTATTTAGAAAAATAATATTAATCAATCCCTCCTTTTCATTAATATTTGATTTGATCAATTCTTAATTGTTGTTTATGACAACCTTATTTATCTTCCTTATCTTATTTGGTGACTTATATTTGGTAGAATGATAATAGTTTTTTAAATCTGATTTTTGGCTCCTTAGAAGTAAGGAAGATATTTAATTGATTCCTTAATTATTCCTTTCCTTAAATTCTGTCAACTTGTGAGTATTACTAATATAGTGAATATTCTTACTTGATTTGCTTGAGTAATAAGAATTTAAATTGATTTATATATGGTAAAATAATAATTTTTGACTCTTATTTATTTAAGGTAAAATAGTATTACTCTCTCTTAATTTATTTTAACTTGCTTATATTTGGTAAAAATAATTTTTAAAAAAACTCTGACTTTTAGCTCTCCTTTGGAATAAGAAAATTGTGATTAATTGATTCCTTTAAATATTTCTTTTCCTTACTTGTTTCCTTCTCTTTGCTATATAAATAAGACTCCTCCCTTCATTATTTCACACTCTCACATAAGACTGGTCAACGGAACGGAACGTACCGGTTCGTCCCGTTTCGATTGCCTACGGGACGGGTCGGGATAGTCTGAACCGGTACACGGAATGGGACGGAACTGTGACTTCGTACCGGTGTACCTGTACCGGTTCATCCTGGTTCATTCCGGTTCCATTCCGGTTCGGTCCGGTTTATATAATATATATTAATTATTTTTATATTTTATATAATTTATATTTATATTTTTAATAAATTATATTTTGAAATTCAAAAAACCCGCCCCTGCCCCGCCCTGCCCGCCCCTGCCCCACCCTGCCCGCCCCTGCAGTCTGCCAGTCTACACTCTTGCAGCTTTTATCAAAAGCTGCAGCGCACTGCTGTCTGCAGCTGCAGCCCAGCCACCCCGTCCCTACCCTTTTCCCGAGACCCGGATCAACGGCAATTTCAAACGAAAAAATTTAAAACGGCTAGTTTTTTTGTTTTATAAATTAGAGTTGATTTCTAAAAATTTTATATACAAATTACAACTTACAAATATAAGTTTGAGTATTTGAGAGTATATATTTCCAAATTCCATTCATATTTATAACTTATAAGATTTAGCAATTACGGATTATAAATTCTAAAATTCAAATTTTTAATATTCAATTCAGTTCTAAATTCTTTATATCATTTGGTCATTTGGTGTATTTCGGAGGAGGAATCTTCTTCAAATTTAAAGTTTCGACATCAATATTTTAATTTTCATTATAATCGTTTGTTCTTACACAAACGTTTGGTAACTTCGTTCCACTCTCTAATCTTATATTTATTTTTTGTATTTATTATTTAACTTGTAAGTTGTTCTTGTTATATTATTGTTCTTGTTAAGTTTCGTATTTTGTAATTCATAATTTTATATCATGGAGTCTTCTAAAAAAAGTGGAAGTAAAAAAGGTCTAGTAGAATCAGTAAAAAAATTAGTTAAAAAAACTAATAAAGGTGCTAGTTCTTCTAAATCTAAAATTCCTCTTGTTAGAATGAATACAGATGAATTTACGAATGTGAATGAAACTAGTTTTTTCCGTCCCGGTCCTATAAATATTAATTTGGATACTCCTATGATTTTCATGAACTCTATGAAAGACATTATGGTATTAATCAAGAAAATGAAGAAGTGGAAATGGGTGAACAATTAAATTTAGATGAAGAAGTAGATTTAGATGATACACCGACTAGCCCCGCCCCCGACCTCAATACAGTCAATAGTATAGGTGTTGAAGGTCCACCTCCGGTTGGAACTACTCGTCCCCCTATTATTCCAACTAGAGGTAAGACCAAGGTACAACGTTCTTTAAATCACATGTGTGGAAATTTTGTTATTTGAATGAAGAAAAAACTTTTAGTATATGTAATCTTTGTAAACAACATTTTAAATATACATCTGATGGGACTGGAGGTTCAACGGGGGGATTAAAAAAACATTTGATTAACAAGCATAATAAAGAGTGGTTTGCATATATGTCTTCTCTTGAAGTTGTTGAAAATTATAATGTTGAAGAATCGGTTAGAGGATCAAATATGGTTCAAAGTGAATTAAATACTTCGAACCCAAGTGGTCCTCTTACACATCGAACCAATAACAAGGATCGTGATCGTGAAAACTTTGCTAAAATGGTTGTTGTTTGTGGTTTACCTTTTAGTTTGAAGAACATCCGGGTTTTATTGCTTATATTCGTGAAACATATATCCTAGTTTTAAAGGTTTATCAAGAAGCATGGTTAAAAGAGATATTTTCAAATTTCAAGAAAAACATTGTCAATATTTACGTGCCTATTTTGAACTGATGGATTGTAGAGTTGCTATTACTACTGATATGGGTCGTAGTCCTAATGGTTTTGATTATTTAACTGTTACTGCGCATTGGATCGATTATAATTGGAATTTACAAAAAAGAATTATTGGTTATAAAATTTGTCAAAAAAAACCAGAATTTATATTGCTACTACTATGTTGGAAATTTTAGATTTTTTTGGTCTTTGTGATAAAGTCGTTAGTATTACTTTAGATAATGCTTCTACTAATTTAAATTCTATTAATATGCTAGAACCTAGACTTTGTCCAATTAGTAAATATGTTTTTCATGTTAGATGTGCCACGCATATATTAAATTTGGTTGTTAGTGACGGTGTGAAATTATTTGAAAATAGTTGTGATAAAATTGATAATGCTTGTTTTTACATTTTTCATATGAATAGTAGTAGTAGAATTAATCAATTTAAAGAACTTTGTAATGCATTTAAACTTCCATTTAGAAGAGTTCTGAAGCATGTAAAAACTAGATGGAATTCCTTTTATGATATGCTTGAAGTTGCTTATGCATATAGGCAACCTATTACTACGCTATTTAATAATCATAATGTTTATCCTGAATTAAAAATTAATGATAGTGATTGGGATGAAGTAAATGAACTTAGAATATTTTTGAAATCATTTTATGATGCTACTAAAAAATTTTCTGGAATATATTATCTTGCTATTTCTGAAATTTTAATACACATATGTGAGATTTCATCTATTTTTTCTGAATATAAAATAAATACTTTATTCACTTCTGCTATTGAAGTTATGATTAAAAAATTTAAAAAATATTTTTTCCTATTCCTCAAATTTATTTAACTGCAATTCTTTTCAACCCCGAATATAAAGAATATAGTGCAAAAGCTTTAGTTGAATGCATTTATCAGAATTTAGATATTCAACCTGAAGAAGAACCTGATTTGGTAACATGTCAAAATAGTATAAAATTCTTTGCAAAAGAAATGTATGATAAATATTCATTCTTAGATAATGTTGAAAATCCTCAAACGTCTATGAATCAAGTAGGTGCTCATGGACGAGTGAAACATAAACTTGGTATTGACTCTTCTAATAAATGTGAATTTGTTAAATATCTTGAACAGGGTACAGATGATATTACAAACGATGATGGTATACCGGAACTATTGAACTGGTGAAGGAATCGTGGAGCTCAATTTCCAAAACTTAGTAGGATGGTGAAGGATGTGCTTGCAATTCAAGGATCATCAGTAGCTTCGGAGGCAGCTTTCAGCGCGGCAAGATTTCAAATTGGAGACCACATATATTCGTTAGCAGAAGACAACTTGGAGATATCAGTGTTATTTAGAGACTGGATAAATGTTGAGCGTAGAAATCAAGGACTTCCAAAGTTAAATAGTCAATTTGAACTTTTCATAGTGATGATGTCATGGAAATTCAAGATCGTCAACGAGCTTTACCAAGACCAAAAGTTGATCACAATCAATCCATAGCTGAGTTAGAAAGAGGATTTACGGGACTATACAACTATTAGTATTACATTCGAGAGATAGTTGAAACAGAACCCTTCCTAGAAGGTGGTTGTGTAAGCTATGTACTCTACTAATAGTTGTAAATTGAAATTGTAATTTATGACAAATTTAAATAATTTAAATTGATATTTTTAAATTTTTGTAATTGTTTTATCCTTATTTTAATTTAATTTTTTTAAAATTACAAATTTAATTATTTAATATTTACAAGATACAAGTTATAAATATAACTTATAAAATAAATATTAATGAATATAAGTAATAACTTATAAAGTATAAACTTCAAAAGATTTAAATTTTGAAAACTTTATTAGACTTTAATTGCAAACTTAACAATAACAAAAAAATTAATAAAATATCTTTAAAATCAAATTAAGTAAAATATTATAGTATAAATTTAAAAATTATTAATTTATACTTAAAAAAAATAAATTATATTTTCGTAATTTCAAAAAATATTGTCCCGTTAATCCCGTCCCATTCCATCCCGGTCCGTTCCGGTTCCATCCCGGTATATAGTGGAACGGGACGGAACCGATGAACCATCTCGGTAATTTCGGTCTGGTTCATCCCGGTAACGGTCAACATTTCGGTCAACGGATTTCGGTCCGGTCTGGTGCCGATTCATTCCGGTCCGGTGACCCGGTTCCGGTCCGTTGACCATTCTTACTCTCACATAACTCATTCACTTTTTAATACAAGCCCTCATTACTCTAAACTCTCATCTCCCACCTCGTTCATACTTTAGATATTGTTCTCTATTTTTGAAAAGAAATAACAACTCTAGTTAGGCTTTGGATTATTCTTTCTTGTTGTATTGCTGTTGTGAATTGAAAACCTTACTAAAATCCTTCATTGCTGACATATAATTTTGCATAACCGGTTTGTTCCTTCTATTAGTTTAATTTTTGCATTGTTAGCTTTAAATATGTACCATGTGATAAGTGTTATTTTTGCTATCATCTTTTATGTGCTATTACTTGCTTGTACTCTCATTTTAGGCCTAAGTCATATACAAGCCCTTAAAGTTGTCCGCATATTTCATTTAGACACCTTAACTTAGGGCAGTACCTATTGAAAACTTTAATTTTAACAAATTTATATCTATTAAACACAAAATGAAAATTTATGGAAAGACATAAGTGTGTGTGTCTCAAACACAAATACATAGCAGATAGACCAATAAAATGACAACACGTGGCAATTAGATAAAAAAATTAAAGAAAAAAACAAATTATTTATCAAGCCCCCATCCCTGTTCTTCTTCGTCAAAATTTCCTGTCATTTAAAGCTTTTCGCCCATTTTGAATTTTCTTTGATCACTTACTACCATAATTATCTAAAGAAAATAACGACTTGAATTTTCTTTAATCACTTGCTACTATAATTATCTTAAAAAATAACAACTTTTGATTAAAAGAATAATCAATTAATATTATTTTTATAAAAAAAATGAAGCTTTGCTACAACATTTGAGTTTTAGATCTATTAACTTTTAATAAATTAAGGTAAAAGCAAAAGAAAAATAAAAAAGAATTAGACAGTACTTAGATGATGAATGAAGTGAAGAAGAAGACAAGTTTTTTCATTTTTTTTCATTTAATTTTAAAAAATTAAGTATATAAGTTGAAAAACAAAAAGAAAAAAAGAAAAAAAATTAAATTTTTAATAGCTATACGTGCTCAAGGAGAGTGGAACACACTCTTTTTGCCATGTCATCATTTTATATCTAATAGGAATGATTTATGAATAAATAAAGTGTTCAATAGGTACAAGCCTTAATAGAAGTGTCTAAGTGAAATATGTGGACAACTTTAGGTGGCCATGTATGACTTAAGCCCTCATTTTACTTTTGATCTTGAAGGTTCAAGATGTTGAAGAATTGCTTAGAAGAAATTTTCAGACAAGTTTATTATTGAAGTTTATGTTAATATTGTATTTATTTTGTAGACTTGTAATATTTTGTGTTACGCTATCTCTAAATCACTCTCATAAACAAAATATTTGAGGGATCACCTAAGGAGAGAGGGATTTACATGCTACGTGTTACTTTTAGCGCATCTATTTGTGTTGTCACACCATAATTTTAGATCTATTAACTTTTAATAAATTAAGGTAAAAGCAAAAGAAAAATAAAAAAAGAATTAGACAGTACTTAGATGATGAATGAAGTGAAGAAGAAGACAAGTTTTTTCATTTTTTTTCATTTAATTTTAAAAAATTAAGTGTATAAGTTGGAAAACAAAAAGAAAAAAAGAAAAAAAAATTAAATTTTTAATAGCTATACGTGCTCAAGGAGAGTGGAACACACTCTTTTTGCCATGTCATCATTTTATATCTAATAGGAATGATTTATGAATAAATAAAGTGTTCAATAGGTACAAGCCTTAATTGAAGTGTCTAAGTGAAATATGTGGACAACTTTAGGTGGCCGTGTATGACTTAAGCCCTCATTTTACTTTTGAACTTGAAGGTTCAAGATGTTGAAGAATTGCTTAGAAGAAATTTTCAGACAAGTTTATTATTGAAGTTTATGTTAATATTGTATTTATTTTGTAGACTTGTAATATTTTGTGTTACGCTAACTCTAAAACACTCTCATAAATAAAATATTTGAGGGATCACCTAAGGGGAGAGGGATTTACATGCTACGTGTTACTTTTAGCGCATCTATTTGTGTTGTCACACCATAATTTTAGATCTATTAACTTTTAATAAATTAAGGTAAAAGCAAAAGAAAAATAAAAAAGAATTAGACAGTACTTAGATGATGAATGAAGTGAAGAAGAAGACAAGTTTTTTCATTTTTTTTCATTTAATTTTAAAAAATTAAGTATATAAGTTGGAAAACAAAAAGAAAAAAAGAAAAAAAATTTAAATTTTTAATAGCTATACGTGCTCAAGGAGAGTGGAACACACTCTTTTTGCCATGTCATCATTTTGTATCTAATAGGTATGATTTATGAATAAATAAAGTGTTCAATAGGTACAAGCCTTAGTTGAAGTGTCTAAGTGAAATATGTGGACAACTTTAGGTGGCCGTGTATGACTTAAGCCCTCATTTTACTTTTGATCTTGAAGGTTCAAGATGTTGAAGAATTGCTTAGAAGAAATTTTCAGACAAGTTTATTATTGAATTTTATGTTAATATTGTATTTATTTTGTAGACTTGTAATATTTTGTGTTACGCTAACTCTAAAACACTCTCATAAAGAAAATATTTGAGGGATCACCTAAGGGGAGAGGGATTTACATGCTACGTGTTACTTTTAGCGCATCTATTTGTGTTGTCACACCATAATTTTAGATCTATTAACTTTTAATAAATTAAGGTAAAAGCAAAAGAAAAATAAAAAAGAATTAGACAGTACTTAGATGATGAATGAAGTGAAGAAGAAGACAAGTTTTTTCAATTTTTTTCATTTAATTTTAAAAAATTAAGTATATAAGTTGGAAAACAAAAAGAAAAAAAGAAAAAAAGAAAAAAAGAAAAAAAATTAAATTTTTAATAGCTATACGTGCTCAAGGAGAGTGGAACACACTCTTTTTGCCATGTCATCATTTTGTATCTAATAGGAATGATTTATGAATAAATAAAGTGTTCAATAGGTACAAGCCTTAATTGAAGTGTCTAAGTGAAATATGTGGACAACTTTAGGTGGCCGTGTAGGACTTAAGCCCTCATTTTACTTTTGAACTTGAAGGTTCAAGATGTTGAAGAATTGCTTAGAAGAAATTTTCAGACAAGTTTATTATTGAAGTTTATGTTAATATTGTATTTATTTTGTAGACTTGTAATATTTTGTGTTACGCTAACTCTAAAACACTCTCATAAATAAAATATTTGAGGGATCACCTAAGGGGAGAGGGATTTACATGCTACGTGTTACTTTTAGCGCATCTATTTGTGTTGTCACACCATAATTTTAGATCTATTAACTTTTAATAAATTAAGGTAAAAGCAAAACGGATCGCGACTGGCACCCACACTTACCTTCCTATGTGAGCGAACCAACCAATCTAAACCTTAACATTTCAATGTAATATCAACAGAAAGTAATGCGGAAGACTTAAACTCATTAATGAAAACCAATTCAATAACTTCTAAAAACTCAACAACTATTATTATCCCCAAAATCTGGAAGTCATCATCACAAGAACATCTATTTCGAATTACTGAATCTAAGAGTATCTAAGAAGCTAAAATACATAAACAGCTAGTCCATGCTGGAACTTCAAGGGATCAAGACATGAAGAGGGAGATCCAGTCCAAGCTAGAAGCGTTAGCTCACCCTGATATCCGGAGTAATGAAGACTGGCTAGAGTTGCGGTTGAGTTGAAGACGACGGTATGTTTGCTTCACTCCACAATTAACAATGAAAACAAATACAAGTAGGGGTCAGTACAAACACAAGTACTGAGTAGGTATCATCGGTC